GCATGCACTTTTTGGTGTTCATTACATTGATATGTTTCAAATGCACAAAGCCCTGTCAAAGCATGTTTTACCCTCGGATTCCGATGAGGGTAATATCATAACTTTCCTTTCTACCAATCCGTTTTGCATTTTGCTAACCTTATTAAGATCTTGAGCTCTAACTTTTTTACTCGTATTAAAGTTGAGTGTAAAAATTGCCTCCTGTTGTCATCTTGGAATTTTATTGTAATTCTGAATAGCATGAATTGGCCGTTGTTGTCACCTTGGAATTTTATTATAATTCTGAAAAGCATTTTCTTAGTTTTATCCCACACACTCTGCTCCTATGGCATTGTTCACATAGTTTTTGACAATCAAGGAATGATATTATTTTTGTCTCTTGGTCAATATGATGCAAATACATGTATATTAACTTAAAGCACTCCACTGTTCTTATAAAGTGCTAAATTTAACTATATTTTCTTTCATGCCACAGTTGTTTCAGCCAAGTTAACGGAGAAAGAAAAGCCAGACAAGCATCAGAGAGAAGGTATGAATATGCTAAATGATTCTATTCAGGTCTTCTACGTAGAACTCGTTTTGCATTGATACCAGTGTAGATTATACTAACAACCTGTATACCATTACTAGCATTAGCAACTTGCAGCTCGGTTTTTGCTTCTTGCTATCATTTCAACTGCGTAAATAGGCCTTTTTGGCTGCTGTTTCTTGAAAGAACCTTGTCTTAACCTTTCCATTTTTATCTGTTTTCTTCTATGCTGTTTCAGATCCGGATGAACCACAAGGAAAGGAAAAGCGACAGAAGGGATTTCTTGCACCTCTTCAACTTTCAGATGCACTAATAAAATTTCTTGGTACCGGAGAAAAAGAGCTCAATCGGGCTGTTGTAATAAAGAGGCTGGGGGATTACATAAAAGAAAATAACCTCCAGGTATATGATTGCCCACCTTTCAGGATTGCAGTATACCATAGTAGCTGTTTATTTATTATTAGAGATGATCATAACTGCATAATTAATATTACTCCGCTGATCGTACTCAGTCTCTATTGAGGTCCCTGCTATTTTCCGACTTGGATATATGAATGTACTGTGTTTAAAATGTTTTCAAACTTCGCTGGCTGTTTGGTGAAGGATCCGTCCGGCAAAAGGAAAGTAATATGTGATGAAAAGCTGAAAGAACTCTTCCATGTGGAAACGTTCCATGGCTTCACTGTGACAAAACTCGTAGTTGCTCATTTTCTCAAGACATGATATGACAGTACGAGCCCCATGCTCCGATATTTGTTGCTGTAAATCTCAAGAGAGAAGATACTTGAAGACGAGCCACACATGATACAGAATTCTTCCAAGATTTTGATTGTGCAAGAATAATACAAGAAATCCTATTCAATGTTAAAACAAAAACCAAACAGTACCCAACACCTGCCCACCGATTATTCGACCAATCATTTTCTCTATCACGTACTGTTAGATTATACAACCCATCATTCATTACTAAAATTAATTTTTATTATACTTAAATTGGGATCAATCCAGTAGGATAAAAGATTTTTGTTCTCAAATTTTTTATTTTACAAAAGCATTCTCAGTGAAAGATAAAATAGAAAGCATTTTCTTGACAATATAGGAGGGGATGCCAGTATTATAATTAGAATTCTACTTCTTGATTTAAGATTTTGATATAAATGAATAATAAAATAACATCGTATCAAATAATCATCCAAATTCAATTAAAAAATAATAAAATTTGATATGATATTTATGTGAATACAATTTTTAAATGAAAGAGAGAGGAAGGGAATCTGAAAAGAAGAGAAGGAAAAACCAAAGGATTTGGTTGAATTAGAGGAAGAGTCGATTCTTTTGTAAGAAGAGACGAATCTTTGGCATATTAAAAAAACACGGGCAAAAGAATCCATCACCTGCCTCCCACACCCTTCTTTTGTTATCTTTAAACCAATAAAAGATAAGCTTGCACTTGTCAAACAAAAACTGCTCTATTTCTTTGCTATCTTCTTTGTTACTTTTCATGGCTCAAAAAATATTATTTGTTACGTTTCACTAAATTTATCTATTATTATTTTTTATAGAGTAAAATTTCAGAATTCATAGGAAAGTATAGAGACTTAAGACTATTGTAGTCGAGTAGTTAGCGGTCACAGTCATACGGTGTAACTTCTCTGTCCTCTTTTTAATATCTTTGTAGTAATTCTCATGACTTCTACTTTTTAAGTTTCTTTTATTGGATTTTATGAACGCTTAGAATTAAGGTAGCGAAGTGATGTTGCCTTAATTTATGTTTTAACTCATTTGACTTTATTCATTCTTGTAGTTTGCTACCGTTGACTTCTGTGTATCATTCTTTTCAGGTTTCTTCTTTTTAAATTTAGTCAGATCTTACGTTTCTGTCTATATGCAGAGATTTATTTGCAGGTATTACTCCTCGTTACAAGCGCGCATATGAAGACTGCATATGAAAAATATTCAACTATGTATTTATTTATTTATACATGCATTGTATTTTATCTTTATTTTTAATTTTTCTGATTGTCAGAGGTCTTCCACGGAAGCTACTCTCAACCTTGTGTTTAGGGTCAGCCTATTACCCTACCTTCCCTTATCCCATTATATATGGGAATATGATTTTGTTGTTGTATTTTACTTGTAAAATATCAAACACCAGTATGATTTATCAGAAGAAGAAGAAAATATCAAATCTAAATTTGATTCCGATAGAATATTTGACGGTACTATTTTTGTCTTTGTAATTTCGGGTTAAATCCGTGTTTTCATTTTGTTTGACAGCAACACTTCCGTCTGTGTTGGGTAAGAAAAATATTTTAAAATAATATTTTAAAATAATTTGAGTAAATTACACTATTCTCACCTAACTTTATTATCTCTTATATTTTATTCATTATACTTTTAATTTTTTAATTTACTGAATTTTTAAATTATTCATGTTTTGATTACTCTGAATTATTTCATTATTATTTTCGTATGATGTGGGTATTTTCTTTATTATTATTTAATATAAAAATTTTAAAATATAAAATAAAAACAAAATATGGTCAGACAATACCACCAGTCACCGCTGTAGGTGATGACCATTCAGTCCCAAATTTTATGGATCCCAAAGTCCAATGAGAAATGATATATTTGATCAAAAAAAAAAATTTATAAATTTAAACTAACGATGAAATATTAATGACACAAATGTTTCTAATCAGATTCACATCATTCATATTTATCACAAGAAAGGAACCTCCAACACAACATTTATGTGATTTAGTATCTTATCTCTCAATTTTGAATAATATATGTAAATTACAAAATATTTAATAAATTAATTGTCTTAAAGGTGGTGTTTATTCGATTTCAATTAAATTTTAAATTATTTTTTTTATATTTATATTTTACATATCCATTTTTTTACAGTTTTATATTATATTTATTAGAAGATTGTGCTCTATATAATATTGATATTAACCAAATGTTTGGTGATAAATCTTTTATCATGATAAAATAATTATTTTGTTACCTATTATTTTTATTTTATTAAAATTAAATGTAAATTATGCTTTTTTATCATTTAATTTTGATTATATTTTGATTTTGATAGTTAGATTATAAAATTTTGTAATTTGATTATTAGTTTTGAATTGCTCCGGTTTTATCACTCAGACATTAAATTAGAAGCAACATTATGACGTGGTTTGTTTTTCTGCCAACATGAATGGAAGCCATCTAATTATTTTTTCTCATTTTTTCCTATTTCATCACATTCCTAATAACTTTAAATTTCTTAAAATTTCATATTCATTTCACGCTGTCTTCGACGTCGTTGTTATTCAACCCTTTAGATACTTATAAATTTGTCTCATCGTCTTCCATCACTCTATCAATTTATATTTTTTGAATCTCTTCAAAACTCGTGAAACTTCAACCCAAAACTTGAAGGAAAATAACTCTAATCTATAATCTAAATCGTTCGATCATTGTTGAGATTTGAAAAAAGATGTACCAACAACGAAAAATTAAAAGAAACCCGAAAGATTGAGTTAAAAATATGGGAAGGAAGATTTTATGGATAGTATCACAAATTAAAAAAAAAAAAGATATTTTCATAATTTTTAAAAGATGAATGTTTTATCATAATACTATTAAGTAATTAATGATGAAGTGACAAAAAAAATGTCACAACTGAATAATAAAATTAAAAGATATAAAGTTTAACTATCAAAATAAAAATATGATCAAAATTGAGTGATAAAATTCATAATTTATCCTTAAACCTAATCCAAGAATAGTTAGGATACCGTATCTTATTATAAACATTTATTATTTAGGATGAACATTAAAAAGACTAAAATACCCAAAAAAAATCATACTGGGGAAGCATCCAAAAGACGTGGGTCAACTGTTTTAATTTTATGGTCTATTTTTAAAACTGTGGACACATCCATTCTATAGTCCACACCTAACCTTAAGAATCTTAAGACACCGCAATTTCATTTCCAGTAAAATAAATTTTAGATAAACAAAAGAGAATATTTATTGGGTAAACCACATATTTTTATCATTTATTTATTATTTAATTTTTTTAATAATTGAACTATTATTATTTAAAAAATTATAATATAATATTATATTTTAGTTTTATTTTTGTCACTCATAGTTAATCTTTTAACGATGATACTGAAGTAATATTTTTTTTATTTTTAATGCTGACGTGATATTATCTTATGACAACTCATCATTATAGCTATTAATTATTTTAATAATGAATGATCGAAATATAATTAAAATGTAATATTAGGTAAGGTTTTAAAAAAATAATAGTTAAGTGACCAAAACGAAATCATGTAATAGATAGATGACCAAATAAGATAATTTACCAATATTTCTTGAAACAATTCTCCGCGTGGCTCGTACGGAACCTAAAAAATCTCACCGAGTTTATAACACCGAGTCACCGAGTTTTAAAATACGCGAGGACCCGATTGGGGGTAATAAAAGGCAGGCGGCGAATCTTGAATCTTTCTTACATGTCTATATAAAAAAACAACTGGGCCGTTGCTTGTCATGTTTATCCTGGCAATGTTAGGAAAAGAGAGAAAAACAGGAAAATAGAAGGGAAAAATAATAATGGATTTGAGCTTGGATTTGAGTCTGGTTTATGTTCCGAAAAGTATATCTGAGTTTCTGCAGGAAGTTTCGAAGATCAAAAATGGGTTTCAGAGATTATCAAAGATCAGTGATTATATCAGAAGATTGGAAGATGAGACGAAGAAAATCGATGCCTTTAAGCGTGAACTTCCCCTTTGCATGCTCCTGCTCAAAGACGGTACCTTTTTTTTCTATTTTAATTATGTACCTTTTTTTATCATTATCTGTGGGGTTTAATTTGATTTTTTTAACGGGTTACAGTGATTGAGAGATTAATGGAGGAAGAAATACGGTGTAAGGAAATGAATGATGGATCGGTGTTGCCATTGAAGGGAAATACTGAGGAAAATGGAAAAGAAACTATGGAAAACGATGGCGGTGATATGATGAACTGGATGAGTTCCGTTCAGCTATGGAACTCTGATTCCGACAACGTTGATCCCGACAAGAAACAAAACACCGTTCCTGAACTCAAACCGGTAATTCCCAAACTAACTTTTTCTCTCCTTAATCTTATTTTATGGGGGCAAAATTTATAACATTTCTGATTTGAAATTTTGGCAGAGAAGTGGAGACCAAGGAGAAGATCTGTGTAAGAAAATCAAGGGAGGGGCTTTTGTGCCATTTAAGGAACATGTTGATAAGAAAATTCCAGGCCTTTCCCTTATGACACCAAGCACTAAACTACCTTCCTGTATCTTGAAGAACAATGGCGGTTGTGGAATTGGTTCAGGCTCTTCTTTATATGCACAACAGAATCAAATCAAGATTCAGACAAAGTCACATAACCGACACGAGGAGCAACAACATCAGCAGCAGAATTCTAGGAAACAAAGGCGATGCTGGTCGCCTGAGCTTCATAGACGATTTGTTGAGGCACTTCAACAGCTTGGAGGCTCACAAGGTTAGACCTTTTTAGAAATTGGAAATATAAATGTTTCAGATTTATGGGATTTATTTATCGTCTTTTATGAACAAGGGATTGGAATCTTTGTTTTTCAATAAATCTGATTGGTTTATTTCTCTCTTTTACAGTGGCCACTCCAAAGCAGATTAGAGAATTGATGCAAGTTGATGGTCTTACCAATGATGAAGTGAAAAGCCATTTGCAGGTTAGTCATTAGCCTTTGAAAATCTGTTCATGTTTATTATCTTTATTTTGTTTCTTTTCTGCTTACTGATTTTCTGTGTGAATTCTGGTTTTTGTGTAGAAGTTTAGACTTCATATCCGAAAAATTCCGGCTTCTCCACCCGGAAACAAGCTATGTTCAGTTCAAAACCAGTCCAATGAGCACAGTAAAGCAAGCATTTCGCGGTCTGGCTCCCCACAAGGACCCCTCCTTGCTAGTGGTTCAGCTAAGGATACGTCGAGTACCGTATGTGAAAGCATGGGCGCCGAAGATGAAAATTCCGACGGACACAGTTGGAGAAGTGGGGCTGATAAGCCCGGAGAGATCAGTGTATAGTCAGATAAGTTATTCCCCTATGAATTTTGCAGAAACATGGGGGGAAAGCATCACGACACCCAGAATAATTTAGTAAACAACTAGAGGAAATTGAAATCAATATTCGGTTTGAGGTACTTGAGGAGATTTCGAAGAGATTATGCAGGTATCATAGACCGGTTTAGGTTGTCTCATCTGTGTTCCTGCTGTGATATATACGAGTCTGTTTAATTCCCGATGATGAATTGTAGGAACCAAAATGACAAAGTTCTTTCATTTATGTTTTAGACTTGACCCTCTTTTGTTTACAACTGATTTACTTATTATATATGATATTTGAGGTTTGGTTTGCTCGGTTGCCATATTTTTGTGAGTTTTCGCCATTGGGAAGATTAGTGATGACCACTCCGCCAAACATTCTGAAACCCCTAATAATGCAATTCAATGATTCTGGTTAGATGTTTGTGTCTTGGTATTTTTTTATTTATTGTTTTGCTTACTTCCTCACCAAGAATAATCATCAACCGGGTAAGGAGAAAAGAACGGCATGCATTGCTCCCAACTTTTTTGTCAAAAAAAATAAGGCGAAATTGCGGATTCAAGCCTTTCAACATCAATAAATTTAGACCAATCAATTGGCCATCAGCTTTGCATCTGCACATGTTCTTTGCATTATCACCGTTCGTCAATAATCTTCAATAAGAACCAGCTTTTCTAGTCCATTAAAAAGAGAGAAAAACTCGATACTCACTGTCAAAATTACATTACTCGGTCGGATACGAGTATATATAAGACAAAGTAAAGTTGCTCATAGGTCTCACACATGGTTATCTAAGCTCAGCTATAAATGATAATACATGCTTACTTAGGGTCAACTATAAATAACAGTGTCAATTATACTAAAACTGGATTAAATTTGATTACAATTTTAAGCATAAACAATTTATTTTTAATATTTATATCATAATATTATATATTTAATTTTTCATATAATATATAAAGATAAAAAGAAAATGACAGTGTAAAATTAAAAAATTATAAAGACTTAAACCTTTATTTTACTGTGATTTGCATCGATGGCAACCCGTCCCAATCAGAAATTAAAAACGAATAAAATATAGCTTTTCTAAACACGTATTATTGGAACTCTTAAACTTCATAAGAAACAGAAAAGTATTGTTTTTTTAATATAGTCTATGCATAAAAACATGTGTTAAATTTAATGATCGAAATTCTAAACTCAGTTTGCCAATATTTAATACCAAATACTTGCATGTAACTTTGAAAAAGACAAACAACAAAGGAATCTGATATATGTCTATTTTAATTTATATGTAATTAAATTCCATTGATTAAAGTTGCAAACAGCTACAAAGATGATTATTTCATTATATTTTCTAAGTTTAGTATTGAATTATTAATCATAAACCCAACTTCTCCCAAAATCATTACAGATAAGTACCTCCTCTTAATTATACGTTTCAACAAAAGCTCTGCGACATCCAACACCCAAATGGCTGGGGAGCTACACCATTTCCTTGTATGAGAGCCTGCAACAGAAAAATATGAAAGAAAGATCAGATCTTTATATTCATATTCGAATATGTATCGTATTTTTTTATATCTGAAAAATATTTGTATTTAACCATCATAATCAAATATGTGTTGACATTTTCAAAGGAATATAAGATATAATTTTGTATACTTGGGCAGGCTAGGGGCGGTGAACCTATAGGTTAACTGATTAATTTACTTATATTTATTGTAGCGTGCGGTACTGAAAAGCAACCTTTTTTTTTCCTCATTTTCACTGAAAACAAGGTCCACCTAAGCAAGATTAAACTTTTAAAGTTTATAGATAAATGGCGAATCCATAATCCAACAAAGGAACGATCATGCAGAAGCTGACCGGAACTTCTCGTCTCATGCAAGATTGTCAATGCACTTCTTCCAAAACACACTACTATTGTATGATATTATATTATATTTCAAGCTACTTAATTTTTTATTTTGTCGATGAAAACTCAAAATTAGGGTGTTTTGTTGGGTTGGTGAAAGGAAACTATCTAAGAAGGGCACAGTTATCTTTCAAGGAAGGCGTGAAGCAATATCTCAGAGGAAAGGTCAAGATCATGGGATTATACTCACACCAAATTCCTACAGAAATCCAATGTAGTTAACCCCTTTTGTCTCATGAATATGCTTGCCACAGAATCTACTGCTGTGATTCATTTTCTCGGAAATTTTCATCAAGGAAATAGATTAGGTAGGTATAAAATAAGAGATTCAAGTGCCTAACATATATTGCACACACAGAACCATCAAACACCCTTAATACAAGCATGAAACAGCGAGTTAATGAACCAGGGAAAATCGAAACACTTTACCTAGAATGAAAGATTGATGTCATGAAAAAGTGGGAAGGCAGGCAGCTGACATTTAATCTGCGAAAACAAAGAGAAAAAAATGAAAAGGCTTCTTGTTTAGTCAACAAGGACCAGAACTCCAGCCCTCCTCACTTTTTGATCCTTGGAGTTGTTGATTTTGTTGTTGTGGCTCAATCAAAAGCTGTGCTGGAATAGGAGGACTTCCATGAGAGGACTGATGATGGCGATGATCTAGCTGTTGTGTCTGAATCTGATAAGGGTTATCAAAGTTGCCTAAAGCCAAAGAAGGTGACATGGTGGCTGCAGTTGGTATTTGATTAAAACCAGTTGCAGTGACTGAACCAGCACCACCTTCAAACCCACTGTTAAACCTCACAATCTCTTGCTGTTGACCCTGTTGCTGCTCCTGCTGCTGTTCATATCCTCTAAGCAAATCTTGTTGTTCCCTTGCTGCTACCACTGCAGCCAATTGTTGTTGAGCCTCAAATATCTGTTGCTGTTGTTGTGGTTCTCTTATCACTAACTGTCCACCGTGTGAAACCGAAGCCGCCGTGGGAATCCCCATCATCGGCATCACATTTTGTTGCATCATGGAATTAGGGTTGCCACCGACGTGTTGTTGTTGTTGCAAAAACACAGGCGGTTGTAGAATAGGAAGCAAAGCTTGAGGACCGATGTAAGTGGCGAGCTCTTTCTTGGCGTTGGTGAGATCGTGCTGCATTTGTTTGAGCCTGTGTTGCAAGATGGAGATGAGGCCGACGCAGCCGTATACGGGGTCTCGGAGGCGGGCCTCGGCCTCGTAGGCTAAAGAGTTGACGGCGTCTTCACGTTGAGAAGGGTTGAGCTCGTTTAACAGCTTGGCTACGTTGCTGGCACCGAACACCTTGTGGACGTTCTGGAATTTCTGCGGGTTGTCCGACGGAAAATAGGGTGCAAAGACGCATTCTTGAGTGCATTTCCGACGAAGAAACTTGCATGCCGCGCAAGGAGAGCTCGACGATGACATCTCCGATATCGAATCCCCCTCTTTTATTATTATTTTTTGTACTGTAATTAAACTGAAATAAACCAAGATCATCTATATTCGATCATATTCGTGGGTTTCCACAAAATTTTAAAAAATCGAAAAGAAAAAGAGAAAAGAAGAAAGGAGAGATCTAGGAACAGTGAGCGATATGAGATTTAATGTAGTGTTAAAAGTGCATTGAGATGGGAAATCAACGAAGAAATATTAAAAACCATACTTTCTGATTCAATTTAATTATGACCGAAGAGCAAGAAGAACATTCCATGAAAACAAAGATTTTGATCTTTGAAAAACCTTACCTTTCGCTGAAACTGCCCAGATGAAATGTTCAAAAAGAGAAACCAACAAAAGTTGGTTCATTTCTAAGGATAAACTTCATTGAAAGATCGAGTCTTTGCATCTCCCAAAACTTACAGATCAAAACTTCATGTGCAAATCTCTCTCTCTCTCTCTCTAATAAAACAAAATTTTGTTTGTACTGTTGAAAACTAAAAATATTCAATAAGAATAAATCTATTATTATCACACTGGCTGACTGAGCAATCAATTTACTGGATGTGTTACCTCTTTGTCCCTGCACTTTCTGCATCTATTACCGAAATTGCCCACTTAATTAATGATGTCAAACAATGGAGAAATTGAGGAAACTAAGAGAAAGGTATATTTTTATTTTTGGTCAAGAGGGTGAATTAATTGTCAGACGAATCAAATATTGTAGATCTTTTTTTATAAATATGCAATAAATTATGATAAGGGAAATTATTGTTATTATCAATCTTGATTGTATGATAATATTAAATTATTGCATTATAATTCAATTAATACCATAATTAGAAATGGTATAAATTAACAATCGACTCTCAATTTCAGTTTGACGCATCAGTATGTCAACTCCAAGATATTGAGATTATATGGTCATGCTGCCATTATATGTGATTTTTTTTAATTTAAATTTGGATTAATACACAACACATCTAAGGTTGTGTGTGTTAGGAGGAAAGAATATAGAAAGAAAAGTAAATACAAAAATTTAAAAATAATTTATTGATTTAGATAAATATAATAATTAAAAAAAATATATGAAAAATTTGAAGATATTGTTTTTCCAAATTCAATTAGGCGGTTTTAAAAAAAATCATTTTTTCTATTTCATATTATCCAATTACACGTAAAAATTTAAACCAAAAATATCATTTTATTTAATTTTAATATATATATATATATTATTTGTTTTATTATATTGATATATTTTAACAAATCTAATATATCCATATTGTTTTATATATATATATATATATATATACCTAAATATTTATCCAACTAAAATAACTATGAATACAAATGATGCATTTTAAAAATATTTTAAATTTATATTTCTTTAAAAAATTTAAAATCTACCACTCAAATGCATTGTATTTTTTTAATAAATAAAATAATTTATTTTTTAATTAATTTTACATGGGAAACTTAAAAATTAAAATTTGATTAAACCATTGTTCACTTTCTCATGTTTTAAACACAACACAACTAATATTCATCAAGGCGACTTTCGCTTGGCTTATAACAAGGGTGTAGGGTTGGTCTGGGTCCTTCACATAGAATTTTGGGGTGTTTGTGAAGGACTTGAACTCGCGTGGAATTGTGGAATTGAGCGAATTTTGGTGTAAACTGATAATGTCGATGTTCATGATTTACTTTCACCACCTTCGCATGACAGTCTACTTTCTTTGGTTCGCTCCATTGCTGCTTCGATCGACAAAGCTTAGTTCGTGGACTTCGTCTTAATTCTGAAGGAGGTTAATTTTGCTGCTGATTACATGACTACTCTTGCAACCTTTGGATAGTTCGCTTCATGTCTTTGATTTTCCACTAGCTAATCCCTCGCAGATTCTATTAAGGGAATCCATGGCCCTCCTTACATCGTGTAAGAACTTAATTTCTGGCTTCGACTTCATATG